GCCCGATCAATATTCGTGGTAAATTCTCATTGGGATAAGTCCGCCAGTTAGTTTTTAAACAATTTGTTAAAATTTGAACGAAAATTGGCTATGTTATTAGACTATAAAATGATGCCAATTTTCTTTTGGAAACCCTGTATATGAATTGCCACAACTTCTTAGGATGTGTAATGGTTTCTCGCTGCCTTCTCCAAAGTTTTGAATTCAGAGTAAAATTCTGACTGGATGCTACCCAAGGTTGGAGAGCCCGGTCACCCTACTATTTAATCAATAGCTGGGCCGGTTGGGGGAGAAGCTAAATAACCTTAGTATAATTTATAACGTATGCTCCATGAAAATTTAGCAATACTCAGTCTTCATTGCTTATAAATATCTCGGCTTTCATTTAATAAATATCTGTCAGAGAATGTTTGGATGCTTTAGATGATATTTATTCGGGAAGCAATTCCAGAGAGATTTTGCTGTTACAGTGGTGCAATAATGTCTTCAAGGAGGATCCTTATGTCCACGTACAGTGATGGAACAAATGCATAGAAGGCAACTATGGGGAAAAACAGCATAATAGTGCCAGTATCATATACACATTGTTTTATTTGCATAATAAAAAACATGTTGAATGAGTAAATGTTGTACCTTACTTTTCACACATCTTTATATATATATATATATATTGTTGTTCATGATGACGGTCGTCTTTGAATATAGAATCCAGAGGTTAGCAGTGAATATTTCGAAGAAAGCGTTGTTCAGGTTAGCAGTGGATATCTCGGTAAAGTAGCAGAGCGTAGTTCAGTAGTTCTTCCTTCTGTTCTTTCGCCTGACAAGTTAGCACTGGACATTCGGAGAGAGTAAACAAAATGGCCGTCTTTATACACGACGGATTGAATATTTTACGTCTTTTGATTGGTTAACCTTCTATTGGTGGACTATAAAGTGAGCCAAGTCATTTGGGCTAGCTCACTAGTACATATATATACACGAGAAACTGCAAAATATATACCTGCCTATCACATGCGCGCACAAACACAGTCACACATATATATGTATGTATATTTATATGTGCCTGTATGTGTGTGATAGGATGCGCGGGTGGTGTCATGGATATCGACACGGAATGAAAAATAGGAGATCCGAGTTTGAAATCCAGTCGAATTCGCTACATTCACTTACGCGTAAATACCATTGGGAAAGGTATGAACCCATCTCCCATCTCCTCAAATGGAATGGTAACCTATTGCGGAAAAAAAATCTTCTGCCTAGTCAAAACGTGTAACACGTATGTAACTTAAATGTCTGATTGATATGTGTAATAACGATATATATATATATATATATATATATATATATATATATATATATATATATATATATATATATATATATGTACACACACACACACACATATATATATATCATTAGGAAAGGTTGAAATCAAGGTAGCGGAATCTGCTGATTTCCTAATTTTCTATATATAAAAGATCCACATGTTGACTTTTTAAAAATCTTTATTTATATATATATATATATTGAGCACTTTTTAATGCTACTGTTTCCTGGTCTAATTCAACTCTGACCATTAACTTTTTTATTTTATATATATATATAATAATTATTTACTTTTTAAAAATATGATTACATCGCGACAGAAAATTTCCATGTTATTTTACCATTGTCAAGCGATGATAGGAATTTCCTATCATCGCTTGACAATGCAACGAGGCTATGGATTTTAAGTTTAATTTTAATAATTAAATTCATAAATTTAGTTTCAGTTTTGAAACATGGAGATTTTCTGTGTCGCGATGGAATCATATTTTTAAAAAGAAAATAATTATAATATTTTGCTTTACTGTTTTGTATTGAACACTGTTTTCTTTTTAAATAAAAATAACTGTGAAGAACACCGGATGATAAATCTTACTGTCTTTTCTTATTATTGATTTTCACACACACACACACACACATATATATATATATATATATATATATATATATATATATATATATATATATATATATAATCAATAAATGTTCACTGAACTTATCTCATTTGACTGACTTCATATTTTCGCATAATGCCGCTAATTAGGGTCACATGGACCGATAAATATAATTAATTATTATCCCATATCATATTAATACGTCACAGAAACAAATGCTAATTGTAGATTTTGAATTTATCTGAACTGCTATGCAGTGTCAGTTATCCTATATAACAGTAACTACTGGACAATTTCCTCACAGATGAAAAGGAGACCTTAGTCAACAATAATGTGTTGATGCAGAAGAACTCTGAGAATACCAAAGGTAGAGGATGTGAGCAATGAGGAAGTTTTAGATAAAATGGGGACAAAAAAGTGTACATTTACTTAAAACAAAAGCGAGACAGTTAAATTTTGGGGGATACATAATGGGGAAAGAGGGCTTAGAGAATTTGATACTCCCATGACATTTCGAAGGCAAGAGGGACAGATGGGACCAGCGAGTAACTCCGACCTAACGAGCTTGCGTAAATGGATAGCAGAACAGGAATGGGAGGGATATTAAACGATAAACACTTCTAAAAGTTACGAAGAAAAGAAAGTTTTGGTGAGCCATGATCACCTACCTAACGAGCTTATGTATATCAATGTCAGAACAGGGAACGGAAGGAATAGTAAAAACAAAAGTTGCTAAGAGTTACAAAGAATAGGAAGTTGTGGAGAGATATGATCTCTTAACGAGGTTGTGTAAATAGGTGGCAGAACAGAGAATTGGAAGGATATTACAAAGACAAATATTGCTTAAAGCTACAAATGATAGGAAGTTGTGGAGAGACATGATCACTTACCTAACAACCTTGTGTATATGGATGGCAGAACAAAGAATAGTAGGGATAGTAAAAAGACAAATATTATGAAGAGTTAGAAAGGATAGGAAGTTGTGGAAAGCCATGATCAATACACGTCCTGAAGGGACACGGCACATGAAATAAGAACATTTGCAGTGTCATTCAAATTGTGATAATAAACAAACACTTCTCTGTTAAATTTTTTGTTCCTTTTCTTAGGGCTGCTTATATTTTTCAAAGATTCTTTAATTTGAAAACTGACCCAGGGGGATATTGCTTAACTTTTGTGACTAAACGTGAACTAATGTTATAGAGTACTTAAACAATGTTCTTAATGCTCTTGTGTTATCAGAATATTAACCACTTCACTTTTATACTGTTTCCTTTTCGGAGCTAGAAAAACTTAATTTAATTTTTGCAGACAAAATCAGCTGCAGGAATGGAAGCCATTTCTCATTCTGTGAGATTTAGAGTGATTCGTAGTTTTGAGACAAATCTGAGAGATCGAAGGAAAGCGAGTGATAGATCGTGATAGAGAGTGAAAAACTGAAACTGATATAAAGCAAAAAGTGTCAAGAAATTAAGGCCGGGAGATTAGTGTCCAAATTTGATATTCAAAGGGAGACAACCCTTGTAGTGTTGCGTCTGAAGATAAAAAGAAAAACAAATACATTTGAAAAGCAAATGCTTCAATCACTTCAAAGCTGTGATTTTGAAAAATGACTCACTGCCAACGCTAGATAATGCCCTCAGTTAATCATCAAAGTTTTCCAATTTAAATATGGGATCAAAAGGGGGAAACTCGAAAGTCTTTGTCGACAAGGTGAAAGCGAATAACTCAGTTTAATCCTATTAATCTTCAGACGAGCTAATATTCGTATACAGTGGGTCCATAAAGTCTCTTTACAATTAAAAAAATATTACGAAGGCAATTGATGAGATATCTTGATCAGATTTGTTCTATGTACTCAGTAGTTATCAAAGTTTTTAATTACAGTGTATTTGTGTATTTCAGGTATCCTGTTGATGAAAGAGGTACTTTTGAATGAACCCCTAACATTTTCAGACCGATAAATTGGAAAGTATGGCCGAATTCCCTGGTCACCTCGTTCATCAGATATCACTCTACTAGTCTTTTTTCTATGGGGTTATGTTAAAGATATCGCGTATTAAACAAAGATACGGGACATCACTTATCTAAAGCAAAATGATCACTGATGCCATTGCTACCATTGATGAGGCCATGCTACAGATAACATGGCAAGAAATCGAGTACCATATTGATGTGCTTCACGCAACTAATTGTGCCCATATAAAAGTGTATTAGTTAAACAAATATCTACTCCTCGTTTTCCACATATTTGTCTGTTCATTTGCTTTTGTAATAAGTTTTTTTTTTAAATTGTAAAGAGACTTTATTTTGTGGTCTTGTTAGGGCCATAAATAAAGACACAAAGAGAGGAATTGAGTTAAACAAATATATTAACAGACACAGTAATACAAACATATACAAACGAAAGTGTTACAGCAAGAATGTTCGGCCCGACTGTCAGAGCTGACTACTGGAAACTTTTCTCTCCAAAAGGCAGTAACTGCTTCTATTTATAGCTGGGAGAGTCCATGCGGGCATGGGTAAATTACCATAACACTTTATGGATACCTTGTACAATAAATGAATCACTGAAAACGGCGATTAACATTCAATGATAAATTGTTTTATGCAAAAAGGCTAAGATTAAAAAAGAAAAATTCAGACGTTTTTCTCTAAAACATTTATAAGAAAATAACTTCTAAAGATTTACCGAACCAGAAAGCAAGATGGACATTTTACTAGTATAAATGGTTCCAAAATGCAGACGCACGCATGCGCGATTTTGATTGATATTGCTGATTAGAAATCCATGATATTGTAATCTATGATTGATTGATTTGTTTTTTACGGCTTATCAACCTTTTGCAGATTATTTAATGTCAAAAAATATTTTTTAGATTGTAAGAAACTTTTGCAGATAATAATGATTCACTGATAAAAGTCCCACTAGCTGGGATGAGAAGAAGTGCATTCATACCTTTTCCAAGGTAATATAACGAAATCGACTGGAATCGTAACTCAAGTCTTCGACTGCCAATTCCGAACCGTTATCTCTTACACCACCCACACTTTCAAAGTTACAGTACCTGATATTCCCACGAGGTCACCCATCTAAGTTCTGATTAGTCTCGATGTTGCTTAATTTCGATGATCGTACGCAAACAGGTGTTTCAACGTGATATGTTCATAAGTCATATTCTTTTTTTCCAGTAAGTTTCACTCTTTATAAGGCCCGGGGGTTACACAATGTAGAGGGTTACGTTTGGAGGTCATTTGTGCGTATAAGAGTGGACGATAACGGTTAATCCTAGCCTTGAACAGTGATCGGGGATACATCCTGTTGAGAGTCTGTTCCACAGGCCAGTGGTTTCCGGGAAGAAGCTTCTTGGGTGGAACTTACTTCTCACCGATGGAATACGGAGGGGACGTGGATGGCTTGCTACTATGTAAGTGGCATGGCGTGTTCTTTTCGTGAAGGTCTGAATTGGCGGAACCAGGGAGTGTAGTTCGCCTGAGCACTTTCCGTGGAAGTAGCGGTAGAGCAGTGAGAGGCTTGCCATATCCCGCCTGTAGAAGAGAGGTTGGAGGGTGGAGAATGATTTGTCACCTACATGGATTAAGAGACACTTTTGGACTCTATCAAGGCTGGAGAGTGAGGTATGGACAGCTCCCACCCAAATATGACAACAATACTCCATTTCTGGCCTGATCTGGTTCTTGTAGGGGATAGTAGAAGGAGTCAGGTACTTACTGGTGTGGTAGAGGGAGCCAACCATTTTACCTGCATCCTTAGCAATGGATCGCATGAATGAGTTCCCCTTGAGGTCGGGTATAAGTTTGAAGCCCAATAGTCTTTCGAGGCACGGTGCTTCCCTGAAAAGACCTTCGTTAATCATGATTGGTGGTAGTTCGGGGTCAGATCGGCGATGATGGAATGTAACTACTTTGGTCTTCGAGGCATTGAATGTAAACAGCTACTTTTTACCCCATTGGATAGTTTGTGCAAGATCGGAAGAGTGATCAGTCGCCAATCTTTAACCATCGAGAGTTTTAGATGTGCGCCCGTATATAGTCGTATTATCGGCATAGATGTTTACAAATGATCTGATCATATTCTTAGACAGAACATTTATGTGGATCAAAAAGAGGGTTGATCCGTGAAGTGACCCTTGTGGGAGTGGGACGCCTGCGTTGACCTCTAGTGTTCCAGAGGACTGGCCATTGATAAATACCTTCAGGAACTTACCTGTTAAGAAGGATTTTATGATCGAGAAAACCTAGTGATTCCATAACTGGAGAGCTTGTATAGTAAATCTTTGTGTTACACCTTATCAACGGCCTTTGAGATATGCTATGATCCTCGAGGTGTATTTTTCGTCTAGAGCCTCACTGATTCTGTGTGTAATGGCAGTTAGGATGTCGGCAGTGAATCGGGCCGGTCAAAACCCATATTGTTCTTTTCTAGGTGCTCGCCGACTTTCTTATTGATTATGGCCTCAAAAAGCTTACTGGTGATATTGAGGAGACTGATGGGTCTGTACTGGGAGGAAGAAGCTCACATGCCCCCGTTCTTGAATACCTTGAATAGCCGAATTCATTACATTCACTTACGTGCTAATACCCGCTTATTCGCCCCCCAGCTATGGGTAAATAGCAGGACAGACCGGGTTCTGTAGGCTTGGATGGCAACTGGTCTACCACAGAAAGAAATGGCAAACTACTGTGGGAAAAAAAATCTGCCTCGTCAGTCATATATTGTGTATCACGCATGGCACCTAACTGATGGACTGACCACAGGGAAACTTAATGGAAGTTTTTTCCAGCGTTGTTTTCTGAGCGATGGGATCTGTCCACTATCTAAAAAATTGGATATTTGGCACTATGGCGATCTTAGCATGGACCCCCATATATCTTTGTCATTTGTCTACATTTGATATGCCATGAGCAGATATGAATGTACGTGAGAGATTCATGGAAGATTAAACTTTAGACAATAAAATCGGCCTTGCAAACCGATCGCTCCTCTGTGGCCGAAACGGTTAAAGGCACGTCAAGCTATATGACGGTTCCGTATAGGATACAGGTTCGAATCCTGTCGGAGGACGAAAATTTTCTATGAAAATTTCTTGGACATTCAGGCCGGTCAATGTTGATTCGACCTGAGAGGTCTAACTCTAGCCCCTCCCTATAGTTAGCGTCACCAAAATCACTTTTGCTTTAATATTCGCCCAAGAAACGGTTTACGAAAATGCATTTTACTAGATTGTCCAGAATACATATAAGTTTTAAGTCTTTTTCTTTGTTTCTCTCTATGTGATATATCCATTAATGATGTGGGAAATTTTGGTTTTCCACGACTTCCTGTTTTTTGTTATTCTCAGCTATGGACTGGACAATTAAAAACAGGGATGGGACAAACTGAGGGCAGTAAACTAGCCGTGGGTAGCAACAGTCAATTTTTAGAGCCAATTACTGAGCATGAGTGAGATATAGATATATATCATGAAATAGACAAAATTCGACTAATATTTTAAGACATTTTTATAAAAACAATGTATAAACATAAAAATGTCTTAAAATAATTGTTTGACTTTGTCCATTTCATAATGTGTAACGTCATTTGTTTATATTTGATACACCATGAGCAGATATGAATATACAGGAGAGATTCATGCAAGATTAAAGTTTAAAGACAGTAAAATCGACCTTGCAGACCGAACGCTCCTCTGTGGCAGAAACGGTTAAGGCACGTCAGGCTATATGACGGTTCCGTATAGGATACAGGTTCGATTCCTGTCGGAGGACGAAATTTTTCTATGAAAATTTCTTGGACATTCAGGCCGGTCAATGTTGTTTAATAATATTTATTATAAAGCAGAGCATTTACTTAAATATTTGTATCTATAAAAAGAATGCATAAACATAAAAATGTCTTTAAATAGATATATATGTCGAGAAAATTGCGTCTTTTTCTTTTTCTACGGAGAGTTAGAAGAATTAATTAGATACAAATATGGTGAAATATTGTCTGAATAAAGTCAGATTTCCACAAAACTGAATTTTTAGTATGCGATCAGTTGCCGAATTTATTCTGATGAACACAAAAGATTTACTATTTTTAAAACCTCTCGTGGATCATGCTGGCTCGTTTCGCGATCACAATTGGCCCGCGAGTCAATATTTGCTTCTTTATAAACTTTCTTTGTGTTTGTGGTACTTTTCCCCCGTCCATTTGCACAAACTTCTCAAGGAAGTTTCTCGCTACTTTACTCTGTTTCTCTTGATTTCGATGTGGATCGTGAGTGTTAAATTCTCCAAACCTTCTTTCCTCGTTAATGAGTCACTTAAGATTCACCTGTCAGATTTTGAATTTTATGAGAAAATTCTCTGTAATTTTTATTCTCATTAAATCTTCTTCATCTGTCATAGACTCTGTTCACAATAGTTGAATGATTTGTTTTTTTATGGCTTATCAACCCTTTATCGGTAATTTAAAGCTGAAACATATTTTGGATTGTAAGAATAATGCGTTTTTTTTGCGAGTGAATATTGCATCAAAATTTCTTTGGAGATAAAAATGGTTTTTCCAGATATATGTTTTACTATTTAACCTACAGCGAGGGGGAGAAGTGAGGTATTTTCACAAGGGTATTTGCGCGTAAGTGAATGTATTGAACTCAGCTAGTGTTCATAGTGTAAATGTTTTCTATAAAATTAATTTTCTTTTTACTTTAATATATTAGGTTGTTCGTAAAATAATGTCCGATTTTAGAGTAAACCTGTTATAGAGTGGTTTTCACAGTGGAGGCTTGTATTTCACTGAGTCGGTCCTAAAAAAGGTTCGACGTACAAAACGTTAGGAACTTGAAATAATAGTTAATGACGCAGCAATCTAGTTGTGGTGGTTGATACTTTAATGTGCGACATCGACTGATTCACCAACTCCCTGAGCACCCTGGCGACTGCTACTACTACTACTACGTATTATATGTGGGAGAGTCTATTAACAATAGAATAGGTATGTTCCGGTATAACAAAACCTTTTAACTGTATTCGAATATATTATTATAATAGTTGTACAAAAATATATTACTCATTCCTAATGATTAAAGTGTACTATTTTTTTTTTTTTTTAAATTTTATAACAATTTCTTTCAGAATTTAACTTAAAGCATTATCTACCCCTTAGCTTGAACATGATAAAAGAGATGTATTTACTATTTTGGTATGAGTTCAAAGCTTGGTCATAATGCTTTTCAAACTGTTGCCAACATTAAGAGAGCATAAGATAAAAGATTCACTTGTGAACGGAAAGTATGGGGCTGGATTCTGAAGTTCCACAGTGGGGAGACGAGTCTTGAATTTTAAGGTGGTAGAGGACGTCTATCTGGAATTGACAATAAAAATCTGAAGGCTTATGGCCACATCACGTTGAAACACCGGTTCCTGGTTCGATGATCGAAGTTAAGCAACGTCGAACCTGGTCAATACTTTGATGGGTGATCGCTTGGGAATACCAGATTCGGTAAGCTTGGATGTGTGGGTGGTGTGACGGATGATGGCTCGGAATTGTTAATCAGAGAGCCGAGTTCCAATTCTGATTGAATTCTTTATATTCACTTAGGCACAAATACCAATGGGAAACGTATGAATCCACATATTCTCCCCAGCTATGGGTTAATTAGTGTTGCAACTGAGTTATCAAAAACAACAGTACAAAACCGGAATTGGTTTAACAACAAGTTTATTACCTTTTGGTACAGGGAAACATCATGTAGAATCGAAACTAGGTAAGAGAATGTTTAGCCTTAAATGACTGTTTTCAGCAAAAGCTACTGCTCCACCTCCTACTCCTCTTGATGTAGGAGTATTTTTTTGTCTTTCGTCCGGCGGCCGAGTCCAAACTTGTAGGAAGATATTCTCCCTCACAACAATTAGTAAAACTTGTCTCACTAAAATTTGCGTCCTGGGTAAGACAATAAGCTACGTCTGACAGCAACAGCAAGGCTTCTGATCAGGAGGTTTTGAGGAGCGTGGAACCACCTCTTAATTGCTGATGTTCCCAGGTCTACCCTGACCCGGGGTAGTAGCACCTGTTAGGGTCTCAGCTTATATCTTCAAATAATAAAATTAAATACAAGATATTTAGATTTCGACATTAAATGAAACATAGACAAAAATAAC